CCAGGCCCCAGGGGCCTGTGGGCCAGGTCTCCAGGGGGCTTGGGGCAGGTGGGGACCTGGAGGGAAACGAAGCCGGGATACCCCCCCTACCCCCCCCCCCACCCCCCCCGCGTTTTGGGGCTGTAAGGGAGAAAGGAAGAGGGTTTTCACCCTCTCCGCCTTCGGCAGGCATTTTTGGAGATGGCCAACAGAACTCCAAATACCTCTTCTGGTAACTGTTACCCATGACACAAGGTACTCTCCAGCAAGACAACTTGTTTCGAAGGCCGATCTGGTCCCAGTGCTACGGCCTAGATCCAGCGTCCATGCACACCCACAGTGAGGCTTCAAGCCCTAACTGCCTACGTCTATAGTCCCCCTTGAATCGCTAGAAATTTGTATATGGTGATCCTATTATGAAATACCCAAAGCCGTATTCTATTTACTTAAGGGGGACTATACCCGTACTTAGTTATCTTGAAAAAAGCAGAATCATGATTTTTTTTGCGAGGCCCATACATTAAGATTTAAGGAAGACAAAGAGCCTAGACTTTAAACCATTAACACCATATAACACCATAAACCTAAATACTTTATACCGGGACTCATCCAACACCTTCAACGTCTCCCGATGTGCAGGTTGGTAGCATTCAGAGCCGTGTCGTGCGCGGCAATGAGGTCCTCTACGAGGTTCAGTGGAAGGGCTTCTTGGCTGCGCTTTTTACAACTTCCAATCCCTTGCTTGGTAAAATCCTTAGCCCTAAACATTATACCCTCAAACCCCAGCTCTGACTCTTTATTAGCAATTCTCAAGCCCCAATCCTAATTCCTTAAACCCTGGGGCCCTAAAACTTAAACCCTAAACCCTAAACCCCTAAACCCTAAACTTCCCAACCTGCCTTGAGCCTGGAATCCCTCAATCCGAGCTCCCAAACTCAAATGAGCTAAAGCCTAAACTGCAGAAAGGGGGGATTTAGGGATTATATGTAGGGTTTAGGGATTAGGGTTTAGGGTCTAAACTCCTTAAAGGGGGTTATATAGAGTATTACCATAGGGGGTTATGAAGGGGGGGATGCTAGGAGTTTGGACTATGGCTTAACTCGGGTCTCACTTAACTCGCGTCTGAGGCTGCGACGACCCCAAGCAGAACACCTTCGAGAATCTCACCAAGCTGAAAAAGCTCGGCGTTGTTGGTCTGGCCAAGGCCGGAGATTTCAGGGCTTAGGGTTATAGTACTCCTTATATAGCCCATTCTAGTAGTTTCCATTATTTTTACATTCTTTCTAAACCCTAAACTGTATAGTAGTTTCCATTTGCTTTTCCATGAGGGTTTAGGCGGCGACTGTAACAGTCTCTGTAGGTGGCTGATGCTATACTTGCCAGGCGTTCAGGGTGGAGGGCTTAGGGTTTAGGGTTGAGGGTGTTGCTCGTATGTCAGATTGTGTCCGGATACTTGGGCGGGGGTCAGGGGACCTAGTAGGTAGGGGAATAAACCGGATTGCTGACTACGTCCTCTGATCCTCCACGTACCCTGCTCTAATCATTTGAGTAGTATTTCCATTTGGGATATATGGTACCCAATATAGAGTAAGATTATATCCTCCTTTTGGGGTATAGTATTTTATATAAGGAATATAATCTCACTAGGTTCAACCACCAAAAAACCGCTACTCAATTTGGGTCCGGCCAGCGCCTGGATCAAACCAAGAAGCCAACTTGTCTCCCAATTGACTTCTAAGCACGTTTTAGGGCTTGAGTTTAGGGTGTGGGGTTTAGGGATGCGAATATCGGGGTAAGGCCCGTCTCACGCTCACATAGGTTTGTTGGAATAGTTGGACTTCTTTCTGCGACATGCTTGGTAAACGCCGGCCTTTGGCCACCAACCATAACCCGAGCCCATAATTCTTATCGGGACCAAGCTTCTGTCGAAATCTCGACTCCTGAGCCCCGCTCTTCACGCCAGATGTAGTTACCAGCAACCAGAATAAATCTGCTCCGGGGAAGTAAGTATTCGTCATTTGACAAGGACTACAACAGGGTGTCTATTTGCGTTCCCTTTCTAATCCTGAATCGTGAAACAGAAAACCCCAAACTCTGAATCCTAAACTTTGAACCTAAGCCTTGCTAGTAGGTTTACAATACCCTGAGCCCCTCTAAGCATGTGGCGGCCCCGCGATCCCCAGGGTTCTTGCGACAGGTATTCCCCACGCCTCAGCCCTCAGTCCCTGATTCTTTCTCTGAAGACCGACTATCATGATGCTGATGATGATCATGGGGAATTATTACCCTCATTACTGCCGCTTCCACCATCTTTCCAAGACAGTCCAGGGATTTACACCCAAAACCCTAAACCCTAAACCCTATGATTGGTCTTGTTGATGCCCTTGCTCCTTACTGGGAGCGCCATTGCCACTCACAATTGCAGCAGGACTTCCCTCCACCTGAAGCCCCCAGAATATTTGGTTTAGGGTTTAGGGTTCACTTGATTTTGTCAGGGTATGATTGCCAACACTCTTACTGATTTTATTCATGACTAAGAACATGGGTGTTTCCAGGTTTAAAGGTTCCCACTTACATACGTCAGAAGCTTCAAGGCTGTAGCACGGGGACTCCCCAAAAGGGACCCGTGCCTCTTTGGAATGCCGTAAACCCTAAACTCGAAACCCTAAATGCCCACTAGGGTTTAGGGTTTTACTAACCCGAAGCACTTCCTTGAGGCTTACGACGAGCGCCTGGCTTCGCAATCTGCCGGCATTGATCAGCGGCCGCTGACGCAGAAGGCGCGGTGGAAATGTGCCTGATACCCCTGACCAGCTATATGAGCTATAGTCTAAACTCCTCAAAAGGGGTTGACATAGGGGATGATATAGGGGAAATTTTAGGGGTTCTTTAGGAGGATACTAGGAGTTCAGACTATAGCTCATATGAAAAGGTTGTCTCCAAGGCATAGACTGTAGATGATTTTCAAAGGGCTCAAGGTTTGGTTGGTTGTTGGTTTAGGGTTTAGGGTTTAGGGGCTACTTGGAGGGTCAGGGGACTTAGTAAGCAGGTTCTCGATGGGAATAATTAGGGTTACTGCATGGTTTATAGGGGCTATTAACCTGCTTACTAAATCCCCCTGACCCTCAACCCTAAATCCTGAACCTTGGGGTACTGCCGCCCCTCAGTAACACTTGGATAATGAGTATAATGTACGTATATATAGCCCCTACTAGGACCCTCAATATAGACTGTTACTGGGTGGAGGCAGTATCCAACCTAAACCGGAACCTACTTACTAAGTCCCCCTGACCTTCCAAGTAAGGTATACACGTAGTTTTTTGCAGGGCCTGCTGCAGGGTACCTTCTGGGAAGGAGATGTGCCAAGATGATAGCGGTCATGCATACCTTTTTGCGGACAAGGAGCTAGCTTCCAAACCCTACACCCCTAAACCTAAACCCTGACCTGCTCAGGCAGTAAACCTCTCTCTGCCATTTCAGGTCGCAAGCATTCAGAGCGTGGAGACCAGGAACCCAAACGCCAGATACTAACTCTAGAAACCTCAATCCCAAACCTGCAAACCCCAAAAACCAAAACACACAAAGTCTAAATAGTAGTTTCCCAAAATAGGGGGACCCCAATGTAGACCCCAATATATTCTAGTCCTTATGATGGAGACCCCCACAAAGGTAGCCCTAATTTTGGGAAATCCCCAAATCACGTTATACTTTAACCCCTAGACCCTAAACCCCAATCAAGTTATCCTCTGTGTGAAGGAGATTGTGAAGCACCTTGAGCAGTTCGGCTCCCGCAGCTGCATTTGCCCGATATTGGGGTCCCTTTTAGGAGATATGGAGGTTGTTTAGGGTATATAGAGGGTTTAGGGTTTAGGGTTGGTTGTCTAGGGTATGAGTCATGTAGGGTTTCCCAAAATTAGGGGTACCATTCCAGGGTTCCCAAGAAGAAGGATTGCAGTATTTGGGGTCTATTTTTGAGTTTCCTATTCATGGAAAACTAGCAATTATTGCCACTACATGGTTTAGGGTTGAGGATATAGGGCTCCCTTTATGGTACGGCACTGACGGTTCTTCTTAGCAAAAGAGCGAGGCCCTCCAATTTTTGAGGAAACTGCAATTTCAGGCGCCCCGACTTTCCCACATGAGCCATAATTTTCTAAACTCCTTACACGAGTTTAGACTATAGCTCAGTGGCCTTGATAGTTTTCTATTTGACCTACGCTGGCAGCTCCGATCCAGTCGTGGTCTAGCTTAGTTCAAGGTTGCCAGAAGCACTGGGGTTCAATACAGGCTTGGTTGCTTCAATTCCCAAAGTGTTCACAAAGCACTCAACCCTAAACCCTGAACCCTAAACCCTAACCCTAAACATTAAACCTAAACCCTAAGCCCTAAACCCTGAACCCTGAACCCTAAACCCTAAACCCTAATCCAGAAACCCTAAACCCTTCATGACGGAGGCCCAAGCCAACGGCCTGTTATCTACCTAAAGCAGCTTGAGCCGGCAAGCCGCACACCAGAAAAGATGCCATCGCGGGCCCTACCAGGGGTTGAGGGTTTTAGGGTTTTAGGGTTTTAGGGTTTCGGGGCTTTAGGGTTTTAGGGTGTTAGGATTTTAGGGTTTTGGGGTATAGGTTGTACGGTTTCAGGGATGATTTCCGGAGTTGTTCGGTTTGCTCTGACATGAGAGGCTCTGCCCTCCTGTAGATGTTCAGGTTCTTGACTCTACGCCACATCCCGTAGCTGTAGCCTGAGCCCCGAATCTCGCCACAAAAGACTGGGTTGCTGTGAAGGAATTTCAATTGAGTTACCATAATGGGTATATATATATATGTGTGTATATAGTAATTGGTGTGTTTTTTTAATCTAGCAACTCATGTTAAGTTACTTAACAGCAACTCAGAAGACCGAAGCCACAAATCTCCAAACCCACGGGAGGCGAGAAAAGCCTAAAGCCTGAACCGCAAAACAAGCTAAGCCCATAGCCCATAGCGGTTTAGGGCTTAGGGTTTAGGGCTAAACGTTGAACCCTCAGCTTCTGCGGGTTTAGGGTTGCAGGGGTCTCCTGGCCCAGCTCAGGTTTAGACGAGGACATGATCCTCCACAGACAAATTGGAAGCCTCCCTGCGCGGCATTCAGCATGGCCACGTCCAGCATAAAGATCCTAATTGGTGTGAATGGGTGGCTGTTAAGGAACGTAAGTTAAGTGACCATTACGCATACGTACCTAGTCCGTAGCACCTCCAGGTCTACATGACCAGGCTCGTAGCTTTGTTGAGCTCAAGCCTACGCACAAAGGACGTTTCTGAGAGGGTCTGCTCTGTAGAGCTTTCTTCGTCGCTGCACTCGGAGAACAGATTTTGAAAAACAAACCGCTACGCCCCAACCCTGAATCTTTTGTACATGACTGGGCTTGTGGCTTTGGTGAATTTTGGAGAGGGACAGGAACATTACGTTGGAAACCGCACGTTCGCGGCAGATGTAAACCCCGCCTCCCCAAGTAGATCATAGCCAGCACTCAACTTAAATCCGCACAGGAGCCTTCGAGCATAGACACAGAGGTCCTGGGACTCAACACCTACTACTACTACTTCATCATCATCATCATCATCATCATATGCCATAATAGTACCATCAATCATGGTCTTAGCTAGTGTAGTCTGAAAGAAGAGATTTCCCAGGCACGAAGAGGCACCACCAACTCCCCACAGCCGGTCCAACAGTAGAATCCGCGAGCTCAATCTCTGGACTTTGACCTTTCAACACTCATCCTGAGCCCTCCAAACCTTAAAGCCTAAACCCTGAATAAAGGGATTTCACTGGGAAACCCAAACAGGGAAACCCAAGAATATAGTAGGAATAGAATAGGATTTTATCTACCAAGGTCCTTATATTCTCATAAATTCCTACAATACTGAACCCTAAGCTTGTGGCGTGCCATGACCCATCTACGTGAAAGTTTCAGAGTCGGGGGGGCTTAGTAGGTGGGTTAACAACGGGCACACATCGCTTCTTGGGGTTATAAGCATACTTACGTCCCTGGAAGTCGGGTTTAGATCACATGTAGTCACGTACCCTTTCGTAGCGGCAAGGGCCCCTTGCAAGCGAAGCGGCAAGGGCCCCTTGCAAGCGAAGCTGCAAGGGCCAAGAATATTGAGTAGGTTTTGGTAACCCCAACCCCTAGAACAAGCGCCCCATAGGAGACATGTGATAGCCATTGGGTCGATTTTTGCAGTTGAGGTACACAAATTACATTGATTAAGACTGAAAAGGGCCCACCCTTTTCGCCTTGAACCTTCGGACAGTTAAGGGCCTAGGAACTGGTAGCTAGGATCTATACAGGGCTAAGGGTTTTTGGTTTAGGGTCAACTACTAAACCCTGCAAACCAGAAAGCTTACACCCTAAACCTAAACTGAAGCCCTGAATGCTAGTCTTCAATGTGGATGGAGGAACTATTGCAGCCCTATAATTTCCACCATAGACCCTCAACCAAGAGTCCTAGATTACCCCACGATCCTCCTTAAGGGTCTCCCTTCGGGGCTTATATAGCCCCTATATAACCACATTAATTGTAGTAGCTTCCATTTTCTTTTCCATTATCCCTACATAATCCCTAAACCCTAGAATCTAAATCCTATTCCTAAACTCTAAATCCTAAACCTTAAACCCGAATCCTAAACCCTCAACCCTAAACCCCTAAACCTTAAACCCTAAGCCCTAAACCGTAAACCCTAAACCCCTAAACCCTGAACCCTAAACCCTAAACCCCGTTGGAAGTCAACTTCAGGCTTCTCCGCAGGGCAAAAGTCAAAGTTGACCCTCGGTGCTGCCTTTTGGACGTGCCCTGGGCCTGGAAGAGCTCCAACAGGGTTTAGGGTTTAGGGTTTTGGGTCTAGGGTTTGGGGTTTAGGGTTTAGGGTTTAGGGTTTATGGGGTTTAGGGTTTAGGGTTTTGGGTTTAGAGTTTTGGGGTTTTGGGTTTCTTCAGGGTTTTGGGTTTTGGGTTTAGAGTTCTGAGTTTATAGTCCCCCTTAAGTAGATAGAATATGGGGTGTATGGGGATCCTCTTATACTATACCCAAGGCCCAGAGTCATATTCGATCTACTTAAGGGGGACTATAGGTTTCAGCAGAGTTTAGGTTTCAGGGCCTAGAGCTTAGGGTTCAGGCTTTACAGATTTAGGGTTTAGATGTGCCCTCAGCTAGATCCTATGTGTGTTGCGGCAGGTGTCTACGGGGAAGCTGGGGGTCTCGCAGAGTCGGTGTGAGGTGGGTGCCAACAACATTTTGGGCGGTTGATGATCTTGTGCGAGCATGGGGGTAGTATTTTATTCGGGGATACTATGGTACCCAATATAGAGTAAGATTTTATCCGCCTTTTGGGGTATAGTATTTTATGTAAAGAATATAGTCTTACTAGGTTTCACCACCACAAAACACCACTTGGGCTACTGAAGGCTTGAGACAACATTGCAGATTTCATATCTGGATTTGGACGAGCACGTCAAGCCCTAAACCCTAAACCCTAAACCCTAAACAACACGCCCTAGCACCCTAGGCCCTACGCCAGCTCCAAGCCCCCTGGCCCTAAATCCCACAACCTTAGCTGTAAAGTCCTATGAGCCCCTTATGTACCCTGAAGCCTACACGTCCCTATGTATCCCCTAGGGACTTTGGACTTAAACCACCCTACCCCTAACACGAAAATCCTAAACAAAAACCCTCAACCCTAAACCTTAAACCCTAAATCCTTAAGCCCCCTTAAGCCCCAACCTGTGAAACCCTCCTAAGCCCTAATCTGTGAAATCCTCCTCAACCCTAACCCTTAAGCCTCTTCAGCCCTAACCCTTCAGCCCCTTAAGACCTAACCCCTTAACCCTAAGCCCAGCCCTAAGCCCTAAGCCCTAAGCCCCAAACCCTAAACCCCAAACCCGAAACCCTAAACCCTAAACCTTAAACCCTAAACCCTAAACCTCAAACCTTAACCCTAAACC